TATCGAAGCAAATCAAAACAAAGATAGGTGAACACAGACAAAGACAAACACAGGCAGGCAGACAATTACCATCATTTTGTTCACTCTCCATTACCGCCAACAAAGGGCAGAAATGGAAATCAGAGTCTCACTCTCACAGTCACTCAGTCATTAACAAAGACGGCTCATCTTTCCCTTCCCCTGAGCAAATGTCATTATTCATTGCCACTGAGCAAATGGTCACTTTCAGAGCAGAGCAGACGAGAAGAGGAAAGGCTTCAGCTAACGGTAGAGAAAGATGAAGAAGCCAATGTTAATGAACGGGTTTGAAAGGCAACAGCAGCATCAGCATCCGAACAGTGACACAATGGCCGTGTGCACCACTGAACAATGGAAAGCGTGCGACAGTAGACACATGAGCACTCTTTGGCCTTTCACCAGTCACGAGTGGTCGCCACTAAACGAGTAGTCTACTTTCGCTAATGCTTATGCAAAGCATCTCCACACTGTTACGGTGACAGGCAAATCACGATTACCACACATGAGCAGGAGAATCAAGCGAGAGTGCAAAAAAATGAAGGAGTTCAGGAATTCACGCGGTGTCAGCCTCTTCTGTTATAACTGCAATATAATAAAACTTCTACTACTACTTTTTCACAGAGTCTGCAATGGGAGACGAGACAACTGCGCACCATCAAGGGGGCCACCGTGGAGCACCTGGTGCAGTACATGCTTCTCCTGACGCCCTTCCAGGCGGTCAACAGCGACAGTGACACCTACTTCGGCGACCAGGTGGAGGAGTACAGCAGCACCGGAGGACGAGGCGCCACCGAGGACTCCAGTTCGCTGTTGGAAGAGCGGAACAACGTCGCCCATGCGATGCACGTCATCTTCGCCACCTACCGGCAGTTCGTCCACCCCTGGCAGCTCTTCAGTGAGCTCATCCGCCAGAAGCCATTCGCCAGTGCCAAACAGTTCAACTTCATTCTCTACTACTGGCTGAACAACTACCCGGAGGACTTCTGGACGCCTTGTCAGCCAAAGCCGCCGCCTCCATTGACGGCACCAGTCGCACCAGCAGAAGAAGGTGCAGCAGTCGAACAACAGCCCCCACCCAAATCGCCCACCGAATCGAGCATGACCACCTCAAGCACGCACACCAGCGAAGAGCCGGACAGCGAGTCACTGTACAGCGAATACACCACCAGCTCCTCCTCCTCCAGTCAGTGCTACAGCAGTGGTCAGGATTTCCACATCACCACCACCACCGTCTCCGCCATGGCCACCACTGCCACTGCCACTTCAGGCTCAAGCTCTTCACTGTCCGGCGGCAGTACGGCAGGTTCTGGGGAACACCATAATCAGCAGCAGCAGCACTTCAGCCCACTGACGCTGGCCGACCAGTTGATCTCAATGCGACACATCGACGAGGAGGTGAAGAAGCACTGTCTGCACCTGCTGGACATGAAGAAGGAGAACACCTTCACGAACAGGACGCTGACCTATTCTAATCACGTGAGTACATCATAAGGAATGCACAAACACACACAAACACATCATTTCGGAGTGCCGGTGACCGGCCTTCGCCCATCAGCGGCTCATTAAAACCTCATTTCCCTTCACAAAAATGCACATACACATCACCAAGAGCGCATCTAGAATCTCATTTAGCTCACCACAGCTGCAGAACAGGCGCAATCGATAACCAGAAAGAGACACACAAACACACACAGACAGACAGACATTAAATTAAGCAAGCAAGCCAAGTGAGCCAAGACAGTGAGCGCGGGCACGGACACAAAGCAATCGAATTTGAGGAGCTCACTCTTTTTTGAGGCGTCCCTCTTGACCTCAATCAGCGGAGAGCACTCTTCCACTCTTGCTATTTCAGAAGAACTGCTGCTTCCGTTATCACGAATAAAGTCGTGAGGTGTCCTGCTTCAAGTGAGGAGCACCACTGCTGCTGCTGCTTCGCTACCCTTAAAAAACTACTGCCACCACCGCCGCCGCCGCATCATCTGTATGAAAATGACCGCCATTAATGCGTAGGAAATGATGGATGGGGGAGGTAAAGTGATAGTTCATCAAAGAGTGTGTGTGCATGAGCTACTGCCGACACTGCAGCACCACAACAATGGGCGCATTCTTTTAATTGACCATGCAGTGAATGGATCACTAACAGGGAACAGTGGTCGTGCTGAACATGTCGCAGTGCTCAAGAAGAGTTGGGGAAAGACAAAGATAGGTCAACACTAAAACTAGATGTGTGGCTTTAAGTGGCAACGCAATTGTGCTGCATCAGCAAAAAGCAGCGGTCAGCAGTGGTAGTCAGGACAATGGTCATCTCCTCAGAGTTTGCGATGTGAAAGCTTGCAATGGCGCCGATGACCACCAAAGTCCTTCAAGCTGATGGGAGAAAGAACTAGACAGTCACAATGTGCTCAGACCGACAGACAAACAGACAAACGCACAAAGGGCGCCTTTCTTACTCACCCGCGCTAACTGCTATTCACTCTTTTTGTTGTCCTTTCTTTCTTCTCCATTTCTTCAATGCTCACTCATCAGAAATCGGTCAACAAGACCTCGTCCATTCTCGAGCTAGACACCAAATTCATCGCACAGCAGCTGACAGCCATCGATTTGGTAAGTGGCCGCAGACAAAGGCGGCAGCAGAAAGACATGCACACACACTCTCAGTCAGTCAGTCAGCCATTTATCTCACTATCCATTTCTTTTGCCCCTTTCCCCTTCATCACCAAAAAGGAAAACTTCCTCACGCTCAAGCCCTACACATTACTGTCAAATGTGCGCTCAAAGACGAAAATTGAAGCGATGATAAAAAACTTTAACCTGTTGTCTCGTCACGTTATCATTACTATTTTGCAACACTCAACGTAAGTAACGCTCAAGTGAATGAAGGAGGATGGCTTATCCTGACAAATCTAATCAATTGAATTACTACTACTCACCACATCACTGACAGACCACATCTGGTGGCAATTCACTGGATCGAAGTTGCCCATCACCTGCGAAAGATGCGAAACTTTAATTCTCTAAAGGTACTGCTGACAGGTCTATGATTAGTATGCCTCCAAACTAATGTTCACCCACTCTTCACACCTCCTCCTCCCTCAATCCTCCTCCTCCATTCTTTTCCTCTGCCATTGATGCTGCTGTTGACAGGCAATAATCGCCGGTCTGACGAATGAATCGATCTACCGACTGAAGAGCACCGTGTGGAACAAGCTCTCGAGGGCGTCAATGTCGACGTTCACTTATCTCTCCTCGATAGTGGACGATGTCAACAATCAGACGTTGCTTCGACACACACAACTGTTCATCGAAGGGACGTCCAAAGTGAGGTACGGGCAATCAATATCCTCTGCTTGCAATCGGACAAACACGGCGTCTAATCTTTAAACTTTTCCAGCCTGGAAGAATCTTTCGGAACAGTGCCGTACTTGGGCACATTTCTCACCGACATTACGATGATCAACACGAGGTATCCGAATCATATCAAGGTCAGTGGCCTGCCTGATGGTGTGAAATGAGACAAATAAAACAAAATAAATCCCTTATTTACCCACTACAGTTGGACACGGGCAAAAAGCTGATCAACTTTGAGAAGTGCTGCAAACAGTACGAGATTCTGATGCAGATGCAGCTGCTGCAGAAGAACGCCATCGCCGCCCTGCAACAACAGCAGCAGCAGAACTACCACCTCGGTCCGATTTACAGTCTGAACCACTACCTGTCGCTGCGATCTCAGGCAGTGCCCTCCATACCGAGAGTGGCGCGAATCTTTCGCAACTGGTTCCAATTGAATGAGGCCGATTTGCCCAGTGATCGAGAGTGGTAAGTGTGCTTTAAGTGCATATGCGTTGACCATTACCAGCATTAATCGATTTTCTGCCCCCCCCCCTTCTAGCCACCAAATATCGCTGAGTATTGAGAATTCGCCCAGCAAGGGCAAAAAGTGAGTCAAGTGCTCAAATCAAAATGCAATTTGCAAGTCTAAGTCATTCCAAGCACTGGCTGAGGAGATAGCGGTGTGTCGCAGCAGCAGCAGTCGCCGCACTTAATTGGTGCGCTGAACTCTAACGAGCGAAGCAGAGAGGCACTAACAGCGGCGGCGGCGGCGGTGACACTGATTATCACCGTCTAACTAGTGACACGAAGTATTACGAACCACCATCAAAACCACCACGACCACCACTGAGTACAAAGCAAGTGAAAGCGTCCACGAGTATCGTAATTAGTCAACGTACGATAATGTCGGGGGCAACGGATTGCGAATGTCCTTTCTCATTGGGGGAAAAGGCAATCGACAGTCGTTGCGAATCACTCGCCCTGCTGTACATAATAGGTTATTTAACCGACTTTTTTAATTGTACAATAAAAATGTTTTTTTGCAATTTGAAAACCTATTAGACTATTAGTGAACTGTCTGTTTTTACGACAATGATGATATGAATTCGAGGTATTTGAAGCGGTACAGGGTTTGGGATGGAACAGTGTGACCACCAGAATGGCGAACAATGAATGGATTCTCGTAGTATTTGGTGGCTAGCTCTTCAGATCGAATGTGATCAACTACCTGATCAGTTTCACCGACAATGTGAAGCGATGGAATGTTCATTTTTTGGTCGCCGAGACGATCGTACAGTGCAACATGACTGCTGGTCAAACTTTGGAAGGCAGATACGTGGATGGCAAACTTGAAGTCATGCTTAAATTCTGGTTAAATGAAAATTCAAGTTAGTTTGATAAAAATCAAAAGTTTTCAACCTCACCGTTANTGTAGTATTTAGTAGCTAGCTCTTCAGATCGAATGTGATCAACTACCTGATCAGTTTCACCGACAATGTGAAGCGATGGAATGTTCATTTTTTGGTCGCCGAGACGATCGTACAGTGCAACATGACTGCTGGTCAAACTTTGGAAGGCAGATACGTGGATGGCAAACTTGAAGTCATGCTTAAATTCTGGTTAAATGAAAATTCAAGTTAGTTTGATAAAAATCAAAAGTTTTCAACCTCACCGTTAAAATGTTTAAGTAGACAGATGAGTGAGAGTAATGAGCCGCCTTGACTGAACCCCAGTATGCCGTCAAAGGGTCCCTTGGTGTGCAATCAGTGTGTAAATGTATGCAAAATAAACGTACAATCTTCCACTTACCTTTGTCTCAAACGCCTCATTTACTCTTTGGATCGACTCATCGAAGCCTTTAACAAAGTTAGACACGTGCTTAGAGCTGAAATACAGAGGATTCTCACCGGAGAACCACCAACTCAAACAGTCTTTATCGTCATTTGGATTTTGCTCGCCTTGTGGAATTAAATGCGGTGCATCGATAAACTCTGAAAACAGAAAGTAAACATTAGAAAATGGAAAGTCACTGCTTCAACATTACAAACAAACCAAAATCACAATGATTTTTCAGTATCTTTCGAAATCCGCCGGACTTTGTTTTGAAAGCCTTTGCATCCTGCCTGTATCCATGCAAGCACAAAACCTGTAAGCAGCATTACCATAAATAAACCAAAACCAAATATGCAGCATGGAGCAGAGACAGTATTTACCTTGTACACTTTGCTATCAGACATTGGTTGTCGTGAAGCAGGAAACACTTGAGATAGGAGTTGAAAAATCAAAACCAAAAATGAAAACAAAAATGAAAACAAAAATGAAAACAGACGACAAACTCGTTCACGTGATTGAAGAGCAGTTACTGAGAGTACGTAAGACCGATGAGACGGAGGAGGAGGAAGAAGAAGAGTACACTGTGTACTGTACACAAGTCGCTCAAGCTGCTACTGTGCTTCAAGAAAGCGGTGCTACAAGACTGGCGTGGACAGCTGTTGACATTCTGCCTCTATCCATGCCTGGGGAGATGATGGTGATCAATCTAAAACTCTCCACGGAGGCACGGAGTAGTACGGAGAGTTGGCGAACGTCGATGACGCTTATCTCCTCTCGCCTGGAAACCTGAAGATCCACTAGTGCCTTCTTCTTCACTTCACTTTTTCTTTTACTTCTTCAGCGGCGGCATGGCGACTGGCACACTCAGCAAAAGCAGCTTTGCAGATCTGCACAGCCGGATAGCGGTGACGGTGGTGATGGTGATGGTGAAGAAAAAGGAAGAACACGAAGACGAAGAAGATGCGATATGAACAGCAGCAGCAGCATCGGCTACAGCTGCTCTCTTCGGTTCGGCGGTAAAAGTGACGNAGAAAAAGGAAGAACACGAAGACGAAGAAGATGCGATATGAACAGCATCAGCAGCATCGGCTACAGCTGCTCTCTTCGGTTCGGCGGTAAAAGTGACGACTGACTATCAGGCATTTTTAAATGCATGCTTCTCAATTTTGATATCCTTTGGATTGACTTTCTGCCTTACTCAGAGGCTATCATTGAGTGCAAACTCACGAACGTGTGTGCACTCATTGAAACTGACTGACTAACTGGCTGGCTGACGCCTGACGACAAGCCACTGAAGCTGCTGTGAAGTCTGCTAACTGAAGAACTGTCCATCCAGTGAAGATGCTCATTGGGTTTATTGGTAGCGGCAAGATCGCCCAGGCGCTCATCAAGGGTTTTCTCACTGCCGGTAAGTAGTGCTCTCGGGTAATGCTGCTGCTACTGCTTTACTTACCTGTTCAATTATTTCCACATCATCCACAGGCATCACTCGCGTAGAGAGCATTCTCGCCAGTGCACCAAAGGATGACTTTAAGAACCACACCAAAACGAGGGTATGAGGAGTTCTGGAGAACAAATCACCCTAATCTACTTTCTGTTTACCACTCCCCACACAGGACATTGGCTGTCGGACGACGTACTTCAACCCCGAGGTGGTGAAGCACTCTGAGATACTCATTCTAGCGGTGAAGCCGCCTCTGGTGGAGTCCGTCCTCGCGGAGATCAAACCGCTCGTCACACCAAAGCACCTGATGATATCAATCGCTGCAGGCATCACACTGCAGACGATGGAACGAGCACTGCCGCCGGAGGCTCGCGTCGTCCGCGTCATGTCGAACACGCCGGTGCTCATTCGCCAGGGCGCCACCGTCTTTGCGCTGGGCCAGAACGCCAGCAAACCTGACGGCGATCTGGTGAAGAAACTCTATGAAAGTGTGGGCATTTGCGATCAGATTCCCGAGAACCTCATTGACGCCGTCACCGCCCTCAGCGGCTCTGGTCCCGCCTATGTAAGCAAATAATCACTGCGTTCTAATCACTGTTTTTCTAATATTTGAAACCTTTTCCTATCTATTCCAATCGCCGCCACTAGACGTACATGACAATGGAGGCACTGGCCGACGCCGGTGTGCGTGAAGGCATTCCACGGGAGCTCTCTTACAATCTGGTCGCACAGACGCTCATTGGGTAGGTGATTAGTGAGAGTAGATCTTAGTGATACTGATGATGATGATTACTACAACACACACATCCATTCCTCTTAACAGAGCCGCCCGAATGGTGCTGGAGACGGGCAAACACCCAGCCGGCCTGAAGGATGACGTCTGTTCTCCGGCAGGCTGCACCATCAACGCAATGTACCACCTGGAGAAGCACGGCTTCCGCTCCATGCTCATGGACGCCGTACAGCTGGCCACCAAGGTGTCCAAGTCGAACAGTCAGTGAGTGAACAACTCAGACCGACTTATACTGCAGACAGGAGTTTATCATCGTTATTATTATTTTACATAAGGAGAAAAAATAAAATTACATTCAAGTGAACAGAGGAGTAATAAATTTGCAAATGAAAAGAACATTGATATATAAAAGCAGATAGAGTTTACAAATGAGTATAGTGAAGAGAACGGGCGATTACAAATCAAAGAAAGAAGGAAGGAAGGAAAGAGAGAAAGGAAAATAAACTCTGCAGGTGATCGATGCCTGGTTAGCAGCAGTTGTTCTTCTCGTTGACCGCTGTCTTGTAACCAAAATAAAAACGTTAATGTAAGACTGCTGGAGTTCTCTCAAGTTGTGTGGGTGTGGATTGGTTTGTCAGTCGTTCGGGTCATTCGTAAAGCTATCGCATCCACCGAAAGTGAGGGAAAAGGGGAAAGGAGAAAGATCATCACAAGATATCACTAAATTGATGAAAAAATGAAGACTGTGTGTGCCAGTGCTGAGAATATATTGACGATTCGTAGAAGTTGAGTCTGTAGGATTTGTTTGTTTGTTTGTTTGTTCTTCTTGTTCGTAGTGCTCATGTCACTTGTGGTGAGAGAAGAAGGCANGATGAGGGAAAGGGAAAAGGAGAAAGATCATCACAAGATATCACTAAATTGATGAAAAATGAAGACTGTGTGTGCCAGTGCTGAGAATATATTGACGATTCGTAGAAGTTGAGTCTGTAGGATTTGTTTGTTTGTTTGTTCTTCTTGTTCGTAGTGCTCATGTCACGTGTGGTGAGAGAAGAAGGCAACTGAGATGTACTGAGTAATTTAGTAACGAGCCACTTGAACTTTGGTTCGTCGAGCTTTCCGCTTCCGATGAGACTAGGTTGAAATGTTGTACTATGGTGATGTGCACTGTGTGTCATTATTGGCCGTCAGGAACATCATAAGTGGATGAACAATGGGGTCAGTTTTCCCCATTATCAAGTGCTATCCATCCGGATTTATGGAGAAAAATGGAATTAAACTTAAAACGTAGTAGCAATTTTCGTATATCTTTTGCCGTGTCCAGAGACTGAGCTCTGGCCAGTGTTGAAAGACAAATGTGAACAGTATTATGACGATTGCACTTGTGAAGATGCGCATTCTGAAAGTTCAAAGTACACCACNGTTGTCAAGTGCTATCCATCCGGATTAATGGAGAAAAATGGAATTAAACTTAAAACGTAGTAGCAATTTTCGTATATCTTTTGCCTTGTCCAGAGACTGAGCTCTGGCCAGTGTTGAAAGACAAATGTGAACAGTATTATGACGATTGCACTTGTGAAGATGCGCATTCTGAAAGTTCAAAGTACACCACCAGTTAATTAGTGTTCCTTATCTCAGAGATTGATACTAAAACACATGTCACCCTCAAGTACACTGACCTCGTATGAAGAAATGGCGAGAGAATGTTGGCAATGGTGGCCACCAGGAGGAGGACCACCTGAAGGATGGTGAGGAGGACGTTGATCAGCTTGAGGACGAGTGCACGAGCATTGGAATTGTCCAGTGAATCGAGGTTGACGAGCTGCTGAAGGTGCTGGTGCTGCTGATGCTCCATTCTCGATATCTGCGAGGGCAATCAAAAATGATAGTAGAGTGTTGTTAGTAGAGGCTGATGATAACTGCCGATAAAAAGTGGCGAATGGTTGCACGAGTACCGCGAAAGGAGGGACTTTGCACTTTGCACCTAGTCGTTCTGCGCACTCGATTGCTTCCTCCTTAGAGTGCACACCACCATCACCACCACCACCAGCCCCCGCACTTACCCGAGTCTGGAAGCTTTCCAGCATTTCGTGCACATCTCGATGTCGCTCTTCAGTCTGATACTGAATCTTCTCCTCGAGATCGGTGATTGTTTGCTTGAGATTTTCAATCTCCTTTTGATGCAACTCGGTGAGGTCATTCAGTTGCTCCTCAAGGCGCTAAACACAGGGAAGGAAGAAAGGCGAGAAGGGGTGAGATAGTGATAAATAGATATATGTACAAGTACACTTGGCACCAGCACTCCACTTACCTCCACCCGATACTTTTCATCCTGCAGCGACTGACTGATCAGTGAGCAGTCGGTCTGAAACTGCGTCTTCAGCAACGTGATCTCATTGTTCAGTCTGCCGCACTCTTGTCCTCGCTCGTCAATGGCCTGCCGCAGCTGGTCCATCTCCGCGACGGTGTAGAACTCCACCGGCGTGTGATGCGTCGTGGGCGTGATCGAGTCAAAGGCCGTCAGCTTGTTGCCCGGCCGCACCGGTTTCACCCGCAGTGGACTATTGCTGTGGTGGATGCTGTTGTTGTGGCTGGTGGCGCCCAGCTGACCAGACCCCGAGGTAATACTTGAGCTTTCATCGTCCGAGGTACACTTGGTGCTGTGACTATGCGTGTGACTATTCGAGTTGATCAGTCCACCACCCGAGTTGCCGCCCTGCTGATCGCCGCCACCCTGGTCGGCGGAGTTTTGCGCGTTGCCCATGTGGTTTTGATCGTGGTCAAGGGAGTTATTTTCTAAAAGAAGAAAAAAATATAAAAACTGCAACTACACAACTTCACACAGAGCAATCATCAAAACATACTGTCATTTGAACTGTCAGTGGTGTTCCGCTTAAAAAATTCCTTTGGTTTGACGATCACAGTCCTGTTCAGGGGAAAGGAAGAGAGATTGCACACAAAAATGTTACAAATCAGTCGCACGTGACTCATCCAGGCGAGTCGAACACATTCAGTCACCACCACCACAACAAACACAACTGGTGTACTTACTCTCCTGCAGTGTGAATGCCCGATTTAATGCCCTCGATGACGCCACCGGAGAGGCCGCTGATGCCCTCCTTCACGTTGGTGCCCAGATCGCGCAGCCGCTCCCTGGTGTGGCGGTAGTAGATGCCCCGTTCCTTGATGTCCTTGATGCACTGGTCATATCGCTTCAGCTTCTTCTGGTACTTTGATATCCTCTGCGCCGACTTCTGGTTGTTCTTCTCAAAGACCGACTTGATGCGCTGGCCCTGGCTGAGCTCGGCATTCGCCGACAGCTTCAGGTACTCGTTGACGTTCTCATTGCAGCGCATCTGCTCCTCCTTGATCAGCTCCTTGGTGCGGCGAATCTTCTGCTCNTCGCTCCCTGGTGTGGCGGTAGTAGATGCCCCGCTCCTTGATGTCCTTGATGCACTGGTCGTACCTCTTCAGCTTCTTCTGGTACTTAGATATCCTCTGCGCCGACTTCTGGTTGTTCTTCTCAAAAACCGACTTGATGCGCTGGCCCTGGCTGAGCTCGGCATTCGCCGACAGCTTCAGGTACTCGTTGACGTTCTCATTGCAGCGCATCTGCTCCTCCTTGATCAGCTCCTTGGTGCGGCGAATCTTCTGCTCGTACTGGGCAATGGCCCGCTTCGTCTCCTCGCTGGGCGTATTGTTGTTGCTGCTGCTGTTGTAGTGGTGATGATGGGAGTGAGTACCGGAACTACTGCCTCCAGCCGCATAGTTGGCGGCGATGTGTGAGGCGTTGGCGGAAACGGCGTGCAGCGGGGCGACATTGTCGTCGCTGGAGAGCGCCTCATTCGAACTAGCGGCTGCGGCGGTCTTCATCATCATCTGCTGCTCCGCCGAGAGCGGACTACCGCCGTACTCCTTGTTGCCGCTCAGGTGGTTCAGGTAATTGGCCGAGTAGTGGTTCGCGTGGTGTTGATTCAGCTGCACCTCCAGCGAGTTGTTGCCCATGCCTGCTCGGCCCAGCGTGCCGACGTATCCGAGTGGCGAGTTGACCAGCAGAATGTTCGGACTGCCGGCGGCGGCGGCGGCTGCTGCTGCTGCTGATGCGCTCATTGAGGAGTAGGAGCCATGGCTGAAGCCTCGACGATGAGTTGGCTTGTGCTGCGGCGATGTCACCNTTCGGCCCAGCGTGCCGACGTATCCGAGTGGCGAGTTGACCAGCAGAATGTTCGGACTGCCGGCGGCGGCGGCTGCTGCTGCTGCTGATGCGCTCATTGAGGAGTAGGAGCCATGGCTGAAGCCTCGACGATGAGTTGGCTTGTGCTGCGGCGATGTCACCAGGTTCGTCGTCGCTGTTGAACTGTTGGCGGCATTCGATGTTGCACCAGTGGACGACAGTTCGCAATTGCCGCCACCCGTTTTGCTTCCACCAGCACCAGCAGCACCAGCACTGCCACTTTGCCTATCATCGACGTTATTAGCATTAGCGGCGCTAATGCCTGCCGCATATGCTGCCGCTGTGTTCGCGTTCAGTGAAGAAGACTTTGGATTGGAAACTGTTGGTGCTGCCGTCGGTGCCGTGACAGGACTGCGATTTCGTAACATCATCCAAGCGCAAATGAAGTGAAGTGTGCACACAGTGTGCACCGTACACTACCACACAATGTCAGATGAGAGTGAAGAGTGAAGGGAGAGACTGAGGGTGTGCAGTGGCAGAGGAGCGCAGTAAGAGAATACCACGCGGCAGATAAGACGACCGCCTTATCAGCCAATGTGTGTGTGGGGGTGATGACAACGAGACCGCCTGACAACGGTACTACTCTCTCGGTACTGCTCTCTCGATAGCACTACCGTCGTCGCTGATGCTGCTGCTGACCAGGGTGCAGGGAGACCTGCTGGGAACGTACTGTCCCCGACTGGCCGAGGAAGTGAACACACAGTTGTACAGAGAGTAGTAGTTGCGATTACGTCTCGCAGTGGCGCGTGCAATCTCGCTGATCCTTCGAGTGTGAGTCTTTCACAGCGCAGCAGCAAGTAGTGGCTGTAGTGCCGTCTTGATCACCGCTAACGAGGCGTGATCGTGATCAATTGAGGAGATCTTCAGAGTGGAGGAGAGAGAGTGAGAGAAGGAG